TTTTTCCAGCTGATCCTCTGTCTTATTATGGAAGATACACTGCTTGATTGTTGCTCTCTGCTAACCTCTGCATAAATCATCCACTAAGGGCTAGAACAGGAATTATTACTGAGAATTCAATCAGTGTTTAACTGATTATTAATACACCACCGTGGGTAGGTCAAAGTGCATTAACCTGTGTGAGCCTATTGGAAAAGATTTCATTAACAAACTCTGACAACAACATTATAGAACAGGAGCAGGTCCAGGAGTTGGGAGGGATGGGGAAAATGAAGTCTAAATGTTTCAGCCGCAGCACCCAAAAGCAGTGTTAGCCTGGGACATTATCCATTATTTGGCATACACAGGAGGTTTTATCTACTACATGGTTTCATCCCTACTCTGCTTTGACTGATGCATGTTCCAAAGCTCTCGAGGTGCTAGTGATGTGCGAGGCCAAAGCAGGCTATCCACACCTTTACCTTTACCTTCCCTTTCCCACAGAAACACACCACTTCTGCAGTGTTTGATGGTCACAGTCAAAAGCTGCCTTGCAGAAAATGCTGCCAGTTGATAGCATCCAAGGTTTGAAGTTAGGGAAACTGCTGACACACTGCTCTGTGACTTCACTTGGGGCACACCTGGACAGTGCAGGAACAGGGCAGGAAATGTCTTACACTGTGTGAATATTGCAAGATGGATCCATTCCAAAATCAAATTAATTTCCTAGGGGAAAAACATGCCAACAAATGGGTTTCAAGCACTTGACACTCCAAGAGCTTCACAGAAAAGCCCAGGTGGAAGGAGACAGGTAATTCAGAACTTAGTCCAGTCCTGTAACACAGTCCACAGCCTGTCACATAATGCTGGATTCAGAGGCAGGATGTAGGAGGCAGTGGCAGGTTCATTGCAAGGCTGTAGCTGTGCCAATCTTCACATCAGAGCAAACCATATGAAGATCTTAGTGTACTACATATGCTCTGGCACTACTACTACCACTGCCTCCAAAACCCTGTCTCAACAAGGTCTAGTCAAGAGAAAAAAAAAATCAGAATATAGAAAAAACTGTAAAGCTGCCTGCAACCAGCAGCATCTATAAAAAGGCCCCTTTCGTATCTCTTCTAGCTTCACTCTCTATCTATGTATGCATATACATACCTGTATCTAACAAGAAGGTACAGAAAATATGTAGCCAGCCTCTTCCAAAAGGCGTACAGTGAAAGGTAACAGACCCAAGGTGAAACATGGGGAATTCTGATTAGATATTGGTGTTTCCATGTCAAGCACTAGGATGGCATCAGAGAGGTTGTAGACTCTCCAGTTTTGGAGATACTGTTAATTTAACTGAACAAAGTCCTGAGTAACCTGCTATAAATTGTCCTGCTTTGAGCAGCAGGTTGGACTAGAAAATCTCCACAGGTCACTGCCATCCTGAATTATTCTGTGATTTTCCCTGGGTATATTCGGGACCATACCATAGAGCCTTAGTAAATATTAATACATGTTTATAGTACTTAAGCTGACCCTTGGCACACATCAAGAATGAAGGCAGGCTGACATTGCTCAGCTAAGATGAATTATAGCACTACCCACAAAACACCCACAACAGCCAGCATCCACACTGCAGAGCTTTACACTCAGAAACCTCCTCCAGTGCACTCCCCAAACAGTTCACCCACCATGGACTCAACGTGTCCAGGAAGATACTACACATACTCTGCTGTGCTCAACAGACCAGGAACCTGTGACAATGGACAACTGGTTCCACAGGGAAACCTTCCTGACCTGGAAGAAAGACTACTGGGGAGAAAAATCAGAATCAAAAATCCTATAGGATCTCAGAATAGAATGAGATAATAGTTTGTTCTATCAGAAGGCTTCAACTAGCACAATTTTAAACCACTCAGAGAGCACTGTGAGACTGGGAGTACTTATGCATACTGGAATAGCTATGATCTGATGATTTAAAGTGGTATCTATTGATGCCCAAAGGTATTCTGGGGCCCATACTTTCTTCACTGACTGTCTTCATTTAGTTGTTTTGCCAGCTACTGACAATCTGTTTAGAAACATCAGGGAATATGAAATCTGGAGGTGTGTCAGTGTGTTTGTCCACTCCAAAACCTCTCTGAAATAACCTTTAGGAATGGCAATCAGCCAGAGATGCAGTTTGAAGCCAGCTAAGGTAGCAATAAATATTTATGGCAGCTAAGGATCTGGGATTCAATGCCATTCTGCTAATGCAGATAAATATTCAGATTTCCTTGGCTTCTGTAGACTAAACCCAGTTTAAAAGGGAAAGCCATACAATACTATTCCAGTAACACTGCCACGGCTGGAAGGTATTTGGGGGAATCACTGCTGCCTCCTGGCAGGTTGGGGTCTCCCTATGCCATACTGTTCAGAGCTATGCTGTACTTTACCTACAGGACTGTATTTGGTTAGCAGGTAAAGCACCTCTCAATTATTTTGCCATCTTTGCAGTGAACAGTATAATCAGAGGTGAGATCTTACTACTGTTACTCGACCCACAGCACGGCCTCCTCTGTGTTGAGGCAGATGTTTATGTGATACAAACCCCATGCTCACAGTTGAGTGTAACTGAGTCTGAAGTGATGACTGCCCTCACAAGGCTCAGTTTCCACAAAGGATTTATGGTTAGTTGAGTTAGACTTCACCATGTTATCACTCCTGCTAACCATGTTGCAGCAGCAGATCTACATAACCACCAAACCAGATTAAAGCAGGGCTTTCCTCTCCAGCCAACCGGGAAGCGATAGTTACATCCTGTCTTCACCACAAATTCTAGTCACATCACAGGCAGAAGGGACCTCAGAAGAAGTTATTCAAAGGGAAGCAGGATGAAAGAAAATTCTTTCCCTTTCTCTGCACATTCACAGGCAAAAGGACCACTGTTCTCTATAGCCCATTATTAAAACTCTTTGCAACTAACCACACCACTAGATCCACACACACCAGCTGGATGCCAGCCGTGTCTCTAACTGTGGGACCACTGAGAAGTCACCTCACTCTCTCAGACGTGAGTCAGGAGCCTAATTCAAATGAACTTTCACATTGTCTTCAATATACTGCAGACTTCGTGAAGGAAATGAGCAAGATGACAGATGGAATCCTTGGGTTTTCTTTTTTCACAAACCAGCTCAGTCTGCATTGTCCCACTGCTCCTTATTTCTTCTGTGCCATACTTTCATTTCTCTAAGGTACCTATGTGGACTGAACAACTTGCACTTTCCCTTCCCTCTTGTGATGGTGATTTCTGTAAATTGTTAGGGAATGGGGGCAAGTAGCTCCTAAACAACTCCAGCTATCATGCTTGTAGCTGGCCAAAAAAGGGCGAGAGGAAAGGAATAGCAATGGGAAGTGCAGCCACATGGCAGTGATAGGCAGGGGCCTTTTTCTACAGCCTTTCAGTGGCCTTAAGCAAATCACTTGCCTTATACATTGCTACACATCTAAGTACTATTAAATGGAGCAGGGTCCTGGCAAGACTTCCAAAGTACCAGGCTCAGCTACCAGTATACAGGTTTGAGGCATAAAAGCACTCTTGAGTTCAGGATGTTCAGCTATCTCAGACATCAAACATAAATTCAAAAAGGCAAATGGAGATAAACAGAATCAACACATTTATGATCCCTAGTTAGGAAGGAATAGCCCTAACAGCCTCTCTGCCTTTTAAAACATACCAGAGATCACAGCAGTCAATGCCTTTATTCTCTTAGTTAAGATATACATATCCCAAGCTGAGTTTCTGTTTGATCCTGAATCTCACTCAAATAAGAATTACTTGAAGACACACACACCACAAGTTTTACCTTTGTGAAGAAAACAATGTACAAGTGGGGGTACAATAGTGTGTTAGAGCAGTTACTTCTTTAAACCAAGCCTTGAAGATGGTGTATGTTCCAGCAGCCAGTGAGTCACCCTTAAGCTGGGACCCCTTTCAGTACTTTGCTTCTTGGAAGTTTTTACATGATCTCAGTGTGCCCAGGGTTTGCAAAAAGACAAAACCTAAACGCTGCACTGAAGTGACAGGAGCAATGGCAAAGAGGAGCCTTGCACCTGAGCCAAGGGGAAGGGGGCTCATGTAACCTGCTGTCTTGTTTCAGCAGAAGTTCAGTGCTCATCTCCATTTCACCGCTGCCAATCTCTCAAACTGCTCAGCCAGCTTGATGGTGTTCCCTCAAACTAGGGCATCAGATCTACCCAGGAAGGGTTAGGCAGATGGGTTACGTCACACGGGATACGTCGCTGGCAAACAGGAGCAGGTTTAGGCTGTGACTGGCTTCAGAGGGAGCCCATTCCAATTATTCTCCTCCTGTGAGTCTGGAAGTGACTCATGCAAAGACAGTCAAGACCAACCCGCTGAGCCTTCGGATTAAAAATAACGACATGGCAAAAGTTGGGGAATGTTTAATCCATGAAAAGCGACTGATCTCAAGCTATTGGAAGGGGGAATCACTTAAAGTACATCTGGCCTCGGAATGAACTCAGCCTGGCTCAGAGGTGAAGCAACCTGGCTCTCTGGGGCCTCACCAAAAGGAGCCCACAGACGGCTTGGCCTTGCACCCTCCCTGCCTGCATCTGCCAGCTCCCTGCGCTTTCCAGCCAGTGATGCCAGCAGTGGCACCCCAGTGCTCCCCCGGCAGCCAGGCCCAGGCAGCACCACAGGCACATGCAGGAGCATTTTCCATACAGACAATACTTGCTGACGCCTCACACCAACCAGATCCCCCAGAGAACAGGAAGAGAGGGCTTGAGGTGCTTTGGAGGCACAAGATTTGGAAACTGTCACGGGGAGCAGGGGAACTGACAAGTAGCTCAGGGGCTCTCCCCAGTCCCTCCCAGCCTGCGGCCCCACAGGGACCCCCTGGCTGGGCGTTGTTGCTGCCGCTGGCTGGCTGTAGGCTGGTGAAGCAGGTTGCAAGGCGCCTGCCTTTCCCTTTCCACCCAGGTCAGAGCCATGCCGGGCACACAAGGTAAAAAAAAAGCAAAGGACAGACCTTCTCTCGGGCCTCTTCCGCGCTGGGGAGGGTGCGCTCGTCCTCCCGGCTGCGGCCGCGCTGCCGGCGGGATGCTGGCGGCCCGGTCGCGGTCCTCACCAGCTCCACATTGCTCTGCCTGCCGGGAGACTCCTTTATTTTTTTTCTCCCCCTCCTCCCTCCACCCTCTCTTTTCAGGGGGGCACAAAAACACGGGCTGCTGAAGGGGAACCTTTCTGTTGTTATTATTCTAATATATTCTGGGGGCTTGTGGTTCCTGCAACCAGGCGGAAGTGAAACCCGTTTTCGCCCCCCTCCTCCTTCCGCGATGCTCCGGGGCTGGAGGCAGCCTGGGGCCGGCGGGAGCTCCGTGGGCCCCACAGCCCGGCCGCGTCCGGGCCCGGCGGGAGGCAGCGGCCCCCCGGTCTGCCCCGCTCCGGGCGCTCGGCCCCCAGGCGGGAATGTTCTTCCCGAGAGGCAGGGGTTACTTTGGAGGCTGAAAGGGGGGAATCGCGTTCTGGAGCCAGCTAGGGGGTTCTGCTCGCCCTCGCTGCCGGCCTCCAGGGCCGGGGTCGGATGGGAGAGCCGGCGGTGGTGCTGCAGCGGCGAGCGGCTGCGGCGGCAGCACGGGAGGGGAAGCTGCAAAATGCAGCTGAAGGCATGAGCGTGTGCCGGCTCCGCAGTGACATCCTGCGGTGCGGGGCCACTACTGCCAAGGGCCGGGTGGGCGCGGAGCGGGAGGAGCCGCTGCGCACCTAGCACCTGCCGGCGCGGGGTGGTTGCAACCTGGTCTAGTGGAAGGTGTCCCTGCCCCTGCCACAAGCTTGGAACGAGTTGAGCTTAAAGGTTCCTTCCAACCCAAACCGTTCCATGATTCTATGATTTGTGCTTTGTAAACGTGCAGCATCTCCCGCAGCATGTTACAGACCAGCGAGGGCTCAGATCTACATGCTGCAGCTGGCTGCATGCCTAGACTGAGGAGCAGAGTGAGAGAAGCACCAAATGAACATCCAGCTAACTAAGGCAAATGTTAATTTCTTCATTCAGCATGCGGCATCATGTTGAAACAGACTCACCAAGCATCTCCCCCAGCCAAGAAGCACAGGAGTGGAGTTGAGGCAGTGATACACCATCCCTCCCTAAGTCTGCATTAGAGAATTCCCCTCTGCACCTCCCTGGCCACACACCACCCAGTGTGGTGCTCCAGTGACCTGTGGCAGAAAAGGCAAGAAGAGAAAAGATGGTGGAAGAGAGCTGAGCACATGGACCAAAAGACTAAGAGGAAAATGTTAAGTCAGCACTTAACAGGCATACCTGAGCTGACTGAATTCCAGCTCACAGCAATGCCACTGGTAATGAGGATTTGGTGGCATCAGCCTAAAAACGTCTCCACAGCTTCTGGCAAGCTTGGTAAGCTCCATACCACATTGCCCAGATCAGAAAGATGAAGGCTTGCCTGGGCAGGCCTGGACACATAGCAATTGAAATTCCCAATAATGGTTAATAATTGTTTGGAGGCATGCGGGTGCTGGTAGTAGATGGGTTGGAAAAGGCTTTTCTAAACTCTGCTTCACAAGTAACTCATATCAGGTGATGCAGGTGTTCTAAGAGATGACTGGGACACTCTTTGCTGAGGTCTCTTGCCCCAGAAGCCACCTGCTCACAGTGTCATGGTGGAATTTAACCCCATGTTAAATTCTGGTGCTGCATTAAAACAGTCAATGCTGCTGCCATCTGCATGTCCAGTGGCACGTTCAGGACCTGCTGTTCTGGACTCTGCAGATTTACCTCTGCTCAGTTTTGTGTTAAGTATTTCCTTCACATCCCAACAGCAAGGGAGTTGCTTAGTCAGCTGCCTGCATCTGTCCCGCAGCCTCAGGGTGTCCGTGGCCTCCCGGATGAACAGTGTCAGCAGGAGTGCCCTTTTCCTGGTGGGCCTGGCCAGAAGGTTGCATCTAATCCTGAGGATTGCACACCTGGACACACTGATGCATGAATTTGTGTCTTGAAGCTTCATTGCTGCAACTCCCTATGCTTTGAAATAAACCACAGGCGTGTAAAACACAGCAGATGTCTGCTTGGCAATGGAGAACAGCCTGGTTTCTCACTAAGTACAGACTTTGGTCTTCTTCTGTGATATTCAAAGCCCTTCATACTGTTCTTCCTCTTGTTGGAGCACTGCAGCCATTGACAAAGGGGTCAGACAAGACTCTGGGAATTTCATCCTTCCCAGGCGGTGTTTCCGCACTATGGAACTTACTTTGCCTCATGGAGATACAAACAACCCCGATCTCAGTTCATTCAGAAGTAAATGCAAAACTTCTCTCCTCAGCTTCATTTCTTCACGCAGAAACATGCAGGGAATGCTAGTATCCAGCCCAACAAATGCAAGCCATATAAGCTAATCAAGCTATTCCTCTTATGGGCTAGATAGAAAGCAAGGCAGAGAAGGAAACAGCTTTTTTCTATTTTAAAATACTTGGGAGGCACACAAGTCCCACAGAGATGGGAGCCATCTAAATATATATATAAAGACATAGTGAGATAAATGAATCCATCTGGTGTAATCTAGCAGTTTCATAAAGCCAACGAAAAAAATTGTCAGTTTCATGAAACCACTGAAGCACTATTGATTCTTTCAAGTTTTTAAATTCTCCGCTGTGTATGAATGTAGGAAATCAACCATCCCCTGTTGGGTTCCCCAAATGAATAGGAAAGGAACAAGACTGTGCGTAAAGCTGATGCAAACAAATCCACAATGCAATTAAAGCAAATTGCCATTAACAATCTAACCCAGCCTATTGCAAATCCCTCCTCACACCCCAAAATACAGGTCTGATTTCCAGGAAATGCCAGTACGCACATCCACCACTACCTTCCCTTCATCCCAGGGATCTCAAAGCATCTCACAGATGGTGCTTAAATGAAGCCTTACAACACCTCATTCTATGTCTCCACAGGGGAAACTGAGAGGCACAGAGATTCGCTTATTGACTAGCAGGAAGTATTAAAACGTCCAGAAAGATGTAGGTGTCCTCTCTGCACATATGCCTTGCTTCTGCTACCAGATAGCGCTTCCACTACGAGTCTGCTTGTAATTAAAGAAAGTTGTTCTTTTAAAGACTGCACTGAGCAATCCACTGACAGTTTTACAGGCAGAGAAGGGCAAAGAAACAGTGTTTTGCTTCATGCCAATGAGTGATGCCTTTTCTCAGCTCTGTGTCTGAGGACCCATGTGGCAGCTATGGAGCAGCACTCATTAATACACTGTGAATTCACACCAGGTGGTGTTGTTGGTTTCAAATGTTCATATTTTGGTACAACCAGGTGACAGGTATGGGGAACAGCCAAAGGTTTCCATACATCAGGGAATCCTCCAGAACATATGGGAAGAGAGTCACTGCATAAGCCTGCAGTGTATCAGCCACCATCTCACAGGCATGCTGGTGTGTGCTCTGAGACCTTCCAGCAAAACAGACAGCTCTGGGAAGTGGGAAAACAAATGTGCATTAGCCATGAGGTGTGCTAGGCCAGCAGAATTCCCCTTGGAAGTGTTTCCTATTAAGTGTGCAAGCAGGCTCAACTTCCTCCCTCCCCTCTCCTCTTCAATACATGCACACACTCCATCTCAGTGTGATTTATAGAATCATAGAATCATAGAATAGTTAGGGTTGGAAACGACCTTAAGATCATCCAGTTCCAACCCCCCTGCCATGGGCAGGAACACCTCACACTAAATCATATCACCCAAGGCCTCGTCCAACTTGGTCTTGAACACTGCCAGGGATGGAGCATTCACAACCTCCCTGGGCAACCCATTCCAGTGCCTCACCACCCTCACAGGAAAGAATTTCCTCCTTATATCCAATCTAAACTTCCCCTGTTTAAGTTTTAACCCGTTACCCCTTGTCCTATCACTACAGTCCCTAATGAAGAGTCCCCCCCCAGCATCCCTATAGGCCCCCTTCAGATACTGGAGGGCTGCTATGAGGTCTCCATGCAGCCTTCTCTTCTCCAGGCTGAACAGCCCCAACATCAGTCCTGCTATGATTTCCCTGGGTAAACCACTGGAGTGCAAGCAGAGGGCATGAGTCTGAAGAACAGGCACCACAGGAGATCTGACAGGCTGAGTCCTGAAAAATATCCTCAGTTAAAGTACAGATACCCACAGGGCCTCAGGGAGACATCGAAATACGCGTGTCCAGCAACACTCCCCATTTAAAAAGCCCCCAGCTATGCTACTCACTGTGTTCAGCTGCTCTCCTCCTGGGAGAAAAGTGAAACTACACAACAGTCAGTCCCACAGCCCATGGCACAAAGTCCTGACTCGGAATTACTGCACATACAGAGATCATTACACACTGAATGCAAAGCTACATAGTGGCTGTGGGCATCATGTAGGATATGAAAGAGGGAGCTGGCAACAGCCGGTCACTTCTGGAGATCATGTCTGGGTCACTATTTTAACATGCTCTTCAATTACCCCTTTTTTTGTTTGAGTTTTTCTTCTAGAACTTGGTAACTGATTTCCTTCTGCTATTATCAGTATTTTATTAATAATATACTTGTCAGTGTGTATAAAAATTACAGATTTCTCCCCATAAATGCTACAATATGAGAAAACAATCTGCTGTTAATAAAACAGAGACAAATTCCCAAAGGAAATGAATGCTTTTAGAAACCACGAACTTGAAGTAAAAACCCACTCTGCTCATCTGAAATAATTACTAGAGAAAAATGACAACAACTGTTTCTCCTCAAAACTTGGCAATTTTTATATCATGCTACTGATGGTGTTATTGGAAAATGGTGCTTTTATTCACTGCCACTTCTTTTACTTTGGCCAATGCTGTAGCCAAACATCTGCTTGTTAATTCAGCAGGGTAAATGGATGGTTGGTAACTTATGAGTTTCCAAAGAAGAGCTCCACAGATGTTTCCAAAAGAAGACCCTCTCTAAAGCTCTGTAAGGAGGCAATTAGGAGGGGAGAAGACTATGAAGAAACAGAAAGGTCCAGACAAAGTGTCTGTGTGACTGTTCAGACAGGTTTGGCTCTTCTAAAAAGCATCCATGGAGGATGTGGGACAAGTTTTCAGCTGAAGGCATTCCAAAGCTCGGTGAAAGCTTCACACTGAACTTGCCACTGAGCATGACAAAAAGCTGTGAGCACA